AGTTGCCGATTTTTTGCCCAGCTTTTCAATTTCCAGCATTCCTTCCGTTTGTTTTGCCTTTATTTTCTCAATTTCAGTTTTCAAGTCTTGAACCGTTTCCTTCACCTGGTTAATTGTTTTTTCTTGGCTTTCTGTACTTTCCTTAAGGAATTTGTTCATTTCTTCTACTTTTTTGTTTGTTTTTTCCTCCATTTCTTTAAGGTATTTTCTCACATCTTCTTTGAGGGCCTCTATCATTTTTTATGATGGTAATTTTTAAGTCGTACCCTTCTGCTTCCTCTGCTTTGTTGTTGTGTTCCATTCTAGTTGGTGTAGATTTCCTAGATTCTGGTGGTGTTTGTCTTTCTGTTGTTAGGTGTTCTCTTGTATTGCCTTCTTCCCATAGCTTCTTCCAGTAGGTGTTGGTGGTGTATCCCCCCTCTCCCTATGGTACTTCCCCGATGGGCTTATGTGGGTCTGAGATTCAATATCTGTAGCTCTGTGTGGTCCAAGCTCTCTAGGAGGTTTCTCCGCAGACAGAGATCCAGGGATGGGGTCAAGGATGAGGATCCAGAAGATGTAAGCAGGTACTCACAGTGGTCTTCTGGCCAATAGCTCTGGCCAATAGGTGGCGGAAGACGGCAGGGGCTGAGCTGGGACTTGAGAAGGTTTTGCAGGATAGTGGGATCTCAGTGGAAACTGGCGCTCTCCAGCTGAGACCTGGTTCTTTGGGAAAGGCCAGGATTTGGGGGTCAAGGATCTTGCCAGCAGGAACTCCGAGTGGGCCCGGGCCTGGGATTCCAGCAGAGGACTGGAGGCGGGGTCAGAGACCAAGCTGGTGGTGAGTGGTCCCGCAAGGATAGTTAGGTCTCCTTTGTTCAGAGTTGCTCTGAGAAGTCTCACCCTCTGTCCCAGTGCTCAACCAAAGCCGCAGGACCGTGGGTGGGGTAGGGCACAGGGTGGGGGGGGGTAGGCTGGCAGTGGGGATGGGTGGGGGTGTATCAGAGCTCCAAGGGTGCTCTCGATGGGGACCGGGACCGGAGACAGGAGCAGCAGGATCAGGGGCCAACCCAGGGAGTTCGGGCGGGGGAGGGGGAAAAAGAGGTTGTAGGGGACAGGCAGCCCTGATTGCGCCCAGGCTCACCTCTGGCCAATAGCTGGTGGAAGAGGACGAGGGCTTAGCTGGAACTTGAGAAGGTTTTGCAGGAAAGTGGGATCTCACTGGAAACTGGCACTCTCCAGCTGAGACCTCATTCTTTGTTGTTGTTTGTTTCAGTTTGCTTTTTTTCCAGACAGGGTTTCTTGTATAGTTCTGGCTGTCCTGGAACTCACTTTGTAGACCAGTCTAGCCTTGAACTTAGGGATCTGCCTGCCTCTGCTTCCTGAGTGCTGGGATTAAAGGCATGCACCACCACCACCACCACTTGGCCACCCTGAAAGTTCTGACTAGGTAGTTTTCATTTTATTCTCAGTACTGAGTGAAGTCATTAGAAAGGTTGCAGAAAAGGAGTTTGTTGGAGCAGCAGCAGGTACTGGGGTTTGGATGTAGGGCCTTTTTCATGCTAGTGTTTTTCCACTGAACTTTATCTTTCCTCCATTTTTATTTATTTAATATTACTTATGGACTAGATTATTTATTTATTTATTTATTTTGGGGCAAGGTCTCCCACTTTAATCTAGGCTCACCTGAAATTCACTATGTGGTCTATGCTATCTTTAAACAAATAGCAATTCTCCTGCGTCAGCAGGCGGAGTGCTAGTATTATAGACCTCACATCCAACTCTTAGCCATATCATTTGAACCATATTCCTGTGGTGCATGTGAGACAAGTGATTGTAGAGGCAAAGGGGAAGCGGAGAATACACTGTGCTGCCACAGATTCTTTGCAGGTGAGGGAGCCAAGGGCAGCTGCATGTCTGGAGTTAGTGAGATGACATAGCCATTGGCTGTGGCTGCTGTAAAAGCATGCTGTAGGTGGTGACAGCAGAAAGTCATTTTCCAGCGGTGTTAGAGGCTGCAAAGTCCCCCTGAGGCCTCTTCAGGCTTCTAGGTGCTGCCCTCTATGATGTGCGACCTCGGCTCTTAGCTCACGCATGTGGACAGGAGGACAAGCTCACTGCTGTCTCTTCTTGAGGGTTTTCACTGAGGGTGTTTTCACTCCCTCCCTTTCGATTTCTCTGGCTGTCACTCCTATTTAAATTTGTTGCGCTAGCACGGACAAAGTGATCATGGCAACTGGTTCTTACTGCTGGTACACAACAGTGGCACCAACATGGCTGCCTACTGCTCTGTCTTCTTAAAGCTTTCCAGACTTAATTTTAAGGTTAGTTCATGCAATGTATATTTCTGTTTTTTTTTTTATTCATTTTCTACCTGCCCTTTAAAAGTGAGTTTTGATAAACGCTATACAGGCAAGTGGTTTGTTGGAGTAAGAAAAAAGGGAGAAAGCCCCAAGAAAAGAGTGAATGAATGAAACTAGAACCAGTACTAGAAAACACACAGAACATCATTAGATTATTGTGAACAACTATACACCAACAAATTGGAAAACCTAGGTGAAATGAATAAGTTTCTCTATGCTTATCTCTTTCTAAAATTGAATCATATAAATAGCACTAAAATAACTGTTAAAAGTGAAATATTCATCTCTTTTGTAAAACTGTTCTCATTAGAACTTTGCCAGTTTTCTTCTTGTTTTGCTTCAGTTTATTGTGAGGTGCATCTGTCTGTAATTGTTTGATCTTCTTGCTCTTTTGAACCTATTATTACTGTATAAGGTTCTTCATTGTCTCTTGTGTCCAGTTTGGCTTTTAAATCTGTTTTGTTTAACATTTGCAGAGCCATGCTTGTTCTGTTTTGGTTGCTATTTGCAAGAAATACCCCTCTCCCCATTTTTTGGTACGTTTATTTGTAACTGGTTTCCATCTCTGTATCAAAGGAAGTATCTTTCCTCATTGTCTCATTTGCACCTAATTTGCATCTAGATAGCACTTATGGAAATCATATTTTGAGTTCCTTCTAATATGTGTCTTTTGAATGGAGACTACATTGTATTTACACTGAAGTAATTGCTAATAAAGAGGGGCCTGAAGTCATTGTGCTGTCTTCTGGATGCCTTATAACTTTTTATCTGTTCCTCTTCTCTTGTCTTACTTTCTTCCATTGTGTCTTCCTGATTATTGTATTGAAGCATTTAAATTCCTTCCTTGTTTGTTCGTTTTCAGACAGGGTCTCTTTATGCATCTCTGGCTGGCCTCAGGAATGTAATGCTGCGTCCACCTTCAGAATCCTGGGATCATAGGCATGCACCATCATTCCTGATTTCATCTCCTATTTCCATGACATAGATTCTTTAGCCTCTCTCTCTCCCCCCTGTGTGTGTGTGTGTGTGTGTGTGTGTGTGTGTGTGTGTGTACATGTGTCTTGTGCTTTTTCTTTTTTTAAATTCTAGTTTGTTTGTTTTGTTTTTTATCATAAGAGACAAAGGATGTGGGGTTAGGTGGGCAGGGAGGTGGGGAGGATCTGGGAGGAGTTGGGGAAGGTAAAACTGTGATCAGACTATTGTATGAAAATCTTCTTTCAGTAAATATAAATACATATATATATACGTGTGTGTGTGTGTGTGTGTGTGTGTGTGTGTGTACACTCACAGACATGCATGTACACACACCACAATCAGCAGCCTCTATCATTCAGCTGTTGACTCTATTCTTATCTTTGTCTTTAAATGCCTGGTTATAGTTGCTATGTTTGAGTGTGTCCTATGGAGAGGTTCTTGGATATGATATTTTTATTAATGCTTTTAACCAAATATGGGGAAAAATCAGTCAAGTCATTATTTATTTATATGATCTTCATTTATGCTTCTCTTCTCTCTGGAACATACACACACACACACACACACACACACACACACACACGTAGAAACACATACTCTCTATATTTGTGAGTAGTATGAATGGATATGTGTCATGTTTTTGAGCATGCAACCAGAGGCCTGAAGTTGACACAGTGTCTCTTCCTTGGTCTACAGAGGGAGTTCCAGGATAGACTCTAAAGCTACACAGAGAAACTCTGTCTTGAAAAACCAATGAATAAATAAATAAACAAATCTTTAATTTTTAAAAAATAAAACTTTCTTCTCCATATTTTGAGAAAACTATGTCCATCCTGATGTTACATATGTACACATTTAAATACATTAAAAAACTTTAAATTATTATCTGGTGTTGCCTTATATCATTTTCAAAATAAAAGCAGTGTCATGTAGAGCCTGGTAAGACACTACATTTAGCTCGTCCTCCCTCTTCAAGGTGCTTCTGGACTTCTCCCCCTGTTTGATACTGGAGTTTATCAGTTCTCTGTAGGTTTTTATATGATTTTTAATTTTTTACTAGTCTAATAATGCTGTAATGTTTTCACAGCTGTGCAATTTCTAGATCAAAGGATAAGAACACAGTTTCTTAACAAAACCCTGATGGTCTGCTGAGATGAGAACTATTTCCAAGCAAGGAGGAGTGTAGGACTTGGGGTTAGGTGACACATAAAACACAGCCCAGGAAGAAACCAGAACCAGAGAGGATACAAGGGTTCAAGAAAACTTCAGCTGTGTGATAGGAGTGATAAATATTCCTGGCAATAATTTTAAAAGTGGCCTTTACAGTTTAATTAGCACAGCTCTTCCTGGGAATATTTAAGAATAATGCTTTAAATGTCACTGTGCTTTATTGTGACAATAAAAGTGTAACTTTTTATACTGTCATTGTCTTTATTTTCATTGCAAAGATGGTGCCCATTTACTGCACGTGATTTGAAAATGCAAGAGCATATAAATCAGTAAACAAATTTTAATCCATAAAGACCAGACTTAGAGATAACCAACACATCAATCTCTTATTTATGTATAAGCTCCTACACAGTTGAAACCATATTGTGTATGTGCTTATATCTACACTTTCTTTTAATAATCACCTTGGTTGTGTTAACTTACTCCTTTTGTGTTATACATTGTCTGCCTCAGGTAACAGAAATCTAGCATTGTTTTGGGATGAATTCAGATACCAACATAGCAAAGACCTGGACAGATCTTCAGAGTCTCCTCAGTGGCGAAGAAGAAAAGCCATGGCTATCCCATTCATCCTCCAATGTGGTGAGTGCTGGAAGCCAAACTACCAGATATTCATGATTTCCTAAATGTTCAAGTCATGGTGATAAGAAGACAAAATGGGGTAAAACATTGCGTTTTCTCCAAAGAGGTTGTTGTCTAGGCAACAGCTTAAAGTAAGTACAATAGAAGGCAAGTTAGGTAAGGGAAAGATTAGATGCAGAGTTCTTTGAACATGCAGTAAAACGTAGGGTGGAGAAATGGAGACAAGATTTCACGACAGAGACACGGGATAGTCGCTAGGACAGGGTTCAGTAGAGGTAAGGCACAGGGAGAGGTGGCTGACCTCGGATATGCACCTTATTTGAATATTTGTGATGGAGGGCTAGGAATAGCCGCCTTCCTACTTTTATGTATAGCACTGTGTCTAAGACTAATGGGGACTCTGTAATCTAATAACAGAAGAAGTGGAGGATGACCAAATGATGAAAGATACAAGTATTTTCTTGGGTAAATGCCTCTATGAGGTCTTGAATTCCAGGGCTAGCTTTTACTTTGATAAACAGTAGGAGGTAATGGAAAATTCTCAGCAGAAGAACAGCAACAAAGAGGCACCAAGCACTTGATAGGCCTTCAAGTCACTTTATGAAGGGCTTGGAATTAAGGACAATGTACTTTCTGTCACCCACAGTCCAGCAGATAAGACAGATAAGTGCCAGGAAATTACCTCCCAGCCTTTCTTCTGGGAGTGGTCCAGGGGAAATTGAGTCAGGTGTAACTTGAAGTAAGGCAACTCCATGAAGGATGATTTGGTGCAGGACCAGAATAGAGGAAAGGCCAACTTATGATGGTAGAGTCTCTTGTAATAAAAGATCTCAGGGAGAGATGTAAACGACTGAACTAATGTGTGGCAGTGAGGTTTAATAAAAGGAGCATATATGACATCTTTAGAAACTATGACTGAGGTAATTGATGATAATATGTGACAGCTTGCCAGGTGACAAATATAAGGGTCAATAATGAGTGTATCTTTGATGCTTGCTAGATAGTTAAAATGCAGTCTCTGGTGCTAAAGGGCTATATGGGATTGGGACAGTCATTGTATATCTCTGAAAATTAATCTCCTATTTAGAAAATGAGACTAATGCTTATAGTTATGTCACAAAGTTGTGAACATATGATCTAATAAGTGTCAAGTTTGCTAAGTGATCTAGAAAGTGTTTCGAGGTGTGGATTTTCATTGTCATTAACACTGTGAAGCCATTTTATCCTCAGCTCCTCTTTATATAAATACTAGTAGAAAGCTCATTTTTTTACAGTTGTTTGTTCTGAAACAGAAATTAAGTCATTTTCACAAGATCCACAGGAGGTGGTTCAGGTGCTTGTCAGCTCTGCAAACTGCTTGTGATTCAAATGTGCACAAAAATTTACCTCTGTGTCAAGAGGGGACTCTGGATTAAATTTGGGCTTAGCCTGAAGATAGCTGTGTGCCTTGGGCCTAAAAGCAAGGAGGAATTTTAAGGCGAGACGGGCAAAGGAATCAGAGTGGTAGGGGGTAATGGACGGAGGAGGGAGGTATGTGAATGACTCACAGATCTGCAGAGAGTAGAGCAGACCGGAAGGGGCTGGGAACAGTGAGATCTGGTCACTGGAACTCTTGGGAAAGGGGAAAATGAGACCTGTCACGTTTCCTTTGCTCAGAAGGAACAGATAGCATCCAGCTTGGAGAGAGGTGGAGCAATGATGGTGACTGCACATAGCTCACAGGAGCCTGGACTAGCTGTGTCAGGAGGCATGGGGTGTGTGGTGAAGGGGCTGCTGTTTAGATATGTCGGAACCGACATCTTTTTTTTTTAATGTGACGTATTCATATCTTTCATGTTTTTCTCTTGATGGTCAGATCTTTGTCTCAAATGGAGAGTCCTGCCTTTCCTTTCTAATTACGAGGAAGAATTCCCCGACATGTGGATTTGTGCTAATAACCCCAACAACATGGGAAACAGGTAGTGTTGATCAGTTTTGGAGCAATTCATTATCCTAATTCCTAATATCTGTCTTATAAACCTTGAACATGTTAGTTGTAGAGAGATTTTAGCTTAGAAGTGGTTTCTCTTTAAACCCTTCTTTAGCTCCTTGCTACCTCTGAGAATATTATTTTGTTGGTATATTTTTCCATTTTAAAAAAGAGACCTGCTGTAACAAAGCACAGGTCCTAGGGTGTGTGCAGCTCCACCCTTCCCTGGCAGGAAGCCTTGGCCTCCTGAGCCACACCTTCCGATGCTTGTTCACAGGGCATACAAGTTGATCTTACTGGAGTGTTTTTGAGAGGGTATATCCACGGGCACTAAACTCTGAGACATGGTTTTTTTTTTTTTTCTATTTTAGTCATGTATATTGATTCATCACTTTCTATGCTGGAGGAAGAAATTCAGACTAAACCGGAAAAAAGGGCTGATTAAATATTGATGGCTGTCAATGTTCTTACAAACCCTTTTAGACTAATAGTCTGTCCCTAGGGAAAGGCGTTAGTATTCCTTTTTAACAGAGGCACCCTTACCCCTGCATTTCTGTACCGTCTCCTCTAAGACCTTAGGGCCGGTGGGTAAGTGGTCCACTATCGCTAATGACACAAGGGTCATAATTATTGAAACATTTTTATTCAACTCTGAAAACAAAAGGGGCTTGGGAAGCTATCCTTCACAGCTTTCTTTTCTTCCAATTTCCCAGCGACCCTGAACTGTCATTCATGCTCTTGTCCCCTTCCCTTAGCAACTAGTGATGCCTCACAGAGCATTTTGGAATCATCTTCAAGACTACATTAATTTTGTCCCTTTTACCCATCCAAATAATAACACTTGCAAGGGGAGGCAAGACAAATTTAGTTGTGTTGACAGAAAACTGATGGACCTTGAAATCCAAACTCCAGAAAGTGCTTCTATGTATAGTTTCCTGAAGCCCCTAAACCTTTAAACACATTGACACAATATTGACCATGTGTATTTCATTGCCACTGAAAAGATTTTAGTAAAAGTATGCATAAAACAGCAGCAGGAGGCTTAGCAAGATGTAAAAGCATCTGAGAGCAGGCACTTCCTGCACGAAGAAGTCAGGGTCAGTGGTGTAGAGAGGATGATTCCTGGCAGAGACGGGAGATCTGCCCTGTGGTTTCACTGAGTCCTCAGATTTAGCATTGTAGCCTGGACCTGCCTTCCTGAAGGATGGGCCTTGAAATATGCCCTGGTCTATATGCACTAAGTTTAGAGAGAAGCATATAAATAAATTCATATAAACAAAAATGATGTGATTGCATGTTATGGCATGTTCTGTGAGCACATGAACAGAGTCATGAGATGAGACATGTCAGGGATTTCAAGTTCAAGCTGAGCCTGAAGCCAAGAGTCGGACACAGAAGTGTCCTATACATCCCAGGGAACCCAGTCCACCTCTATGCATTTCATAATTAAAACCATCTTATACATGGTAGTATTCAAGATTAGCAGCCCGGGCAAGGTAAAATGGAGCCAGTCTTGTTGAGACTGCTGAAGTATTGCTTGTTTTCCAGTTTGAGCACAGAGGGAAACTACCTTTTTGTCACAATCCTTGAGAAATAGCTAGTAGCACACTCCCATTATATTCATGATATGCATTCATCTGTATTGAATGCAGGAATCAATGAACACCAGCAGGGTAAAAATGATGCCTGTTATTTGACTGAACCAGAAACCCCTGAATTTTGGGAAGGATGCAAAATACACAGAGGTTGTATTGTGCGTTAAAATTTATGACCAAAAAAAAAAAATCTCTGAAAAGAGACAGTTGAATGCACTTCATTTTAACAAAATACTTAGGTTTCTTTGTTCTGAATAAAAACTTAACATGGCCGTAGGTTCTTTTCTTAATGCAGTAGAGCACTGTGTTGGTTCTGCCCCACAGATGTCTTCAGATTCATATTGTCAGTAGCTATATATACAGGAGTCATCTTTGGGATTTGTTTATGCAGCACCTTTCTTTGAAAATAACAATAATAGCAAACACCACATGAAGGTAGAATTAAGTGTTTTTTTTTTTCACAGCAGTGCTTGAATTTGATGGTAGTTCTTCACACTCTCTCTGTTGGTAGAGGGCAAGAAAAATACATGCTCACAGCCTGGAAAAACAGAGCTGGTGGTTTCCATCTGCTTTGTATTTTCTTCCCGGTTTCCAGTGGCAGGAGGCCCTCCCTGTTGCCAGCCTCTTCTCTCTCCTCTTTTAGCGACGGGATGCAGCCCTCCTCTACTTCTTCCTATTGGTAACAGAAAATTCCTTAACCTAGAAGAGGCCCTAATAATTGACATCTGTATTTCATACTACTGATTTGAATTTTCTGTGTGTAAGAGGAAATGTAACATTTTAGAGAAGTAAACCATCTTTTATAGTCAGCATATACCTTCTTCACACTTCCTTCTGATACTGATCTGTGGCTTGTTGATTATGTAGCTGTAACCAGCCAGAACACCTGCCTTCTATCCCACTGGGCACCATGAACCGAAGACCACCATCAAAAGATGAGAAAGAGAAGCAGCTTGAAGAGTCAGTGCAAAGGTACCAGAACAGGCTGGCGGAAGCACAGCCACAGGTGAGCTCTTACTTGGCCTTCCAAATTTAGCAATTGCTCTTGAGCTGCTGCTACCCTACATGCAAATGGACTAATACAGTTTTCTCAAGTAAAATGTACACAGCCTTTTTACATTTCTCTTTTGCTACATTTGCATCTGAAAATTCTTTTAAAGGTAATTGGGGAGGAAGGGAAGTTCCAGAAAAGTATCTACCTGTGTACTAAGGCCATCTATCTACACAGGATGTATGGGGAACCGGGCATTTGTTTCTCCTCTACAGTTGTATGCTTCGGTAAGGTCAGGTGTTCAAGACAGGGAACCAGGTGCACAACTTCAAAGATTGGGCTACACTCCTTCCCCATCCCCTGTACCACCAGGCTTCTTTTCTGGAAGTGGACATTTTTGGCAAAGAATGTTTTTAGACAATCCCTGGCCAATTAATCTAGAATGTCAAAGGCATTTTTTTGATTGTTAAGAGAACTCAGTAAGAATAAACGTGATTATGGATGAATGGGTAATGATGGGAATTTTAGTGAAAGAAATGTGATATACAAAAAATTCCTATGCTCTTTATAAGCATATATCATCTGTCCAAAGTAAGGGGATTTTCATGACATATCTGTAATACACATGATGTTCTTTGATCATTTCCTTCCTCCTACTTTTTCTCCTTCTCCTTTCTTCTTTTACACTTTTACACTTCAATTTTCCACTTTGATTTGTTTGCTTGTGTGCGTGCACGTGTGTGTGTGTGTGTGTGTGTGTGTGTGTGTGTACAGGCTCATGGGAGGTCAGAGGACAACCTTGAGTGCCAGTGTTCACCTTCTATATTGTTTGAGGCAGGGTCTCTCTGTCATTCAAAGCTGCATTTGCCAAGCTAGCTGCCTGAGCACCTCTGGAGGTCTCCCATTCTTACTTCCCATATCATATAGGAACATTAGGATTGGAGATGTATACCACTGTGCCTTGAGTGTTCGCACTCACCCACTGAGCCATCCCCCAACCCTTATTTTCTTAACATAGAGTTACATCTCTGATTATAGATCCAGTTTAGCATTTTAAACAGTATGCAGCTCATTTGCTGAAGTAGCATTTGAGAAAGTCAACAGTAAATGTTCGAAATTATTGATTCATCTGTGGATGCCAGCAAACAAACAAACAAACAAACAAACAAAAAAAGGAAAAGACTCATTAGAATGGAAAATACAGTGATGGGCTAGGATATAATCCAACATTCCATTAGTTTTGTTTTCTTAAAGTGTGCATTTTTCTCTGCTTAGCTGCCCGCTTTGCTAGGGATGTGCAGTGCAGATCAGACACCACTGAGGTGGCCACACACCCGGCCCTTCCACCCATAGCTTGGCATTTTGGTCAGTTTGGGAACGATATTGAGGATTACTTGGAAAACACACCCTGAAGCATTCCCCAGTGCTAAAACACAACTCACTGTTGTGTTTAATTTATAAAGCCTCTATCTTGGGTGTGATAAAAGAAACCAGAAATGAAGGCATCAGAGCCTGTGGTTATTTTAACTAACAGGAAATAGATAAATACACATGTTTCTGTTCTAAAATACCTCTTAAAAATCATCTCTGTTTCACTTCTTGAAGCTTTGGAAAGACATTCAACACATTGGAGTTGATTTTACATTTTGGCCATCTTGGATTTACTGTTTTCCTTTCCTCTTGGTCACTATTGACAATTGGATATCAATAGTGCCATTCACAAAGCCTTATTTGGCTTATTGTTTGTTTAAAGTTGGGTTGTGTTATTTATCATTGAGGTGGAGATTTTTATGGAAGCTGATGAAGTCAACAGGTGGGAACTATCCACTCTGCTTATTCTCTCTTGATAGATTTTTCCCCACATGCAAATTTAAGTCAGGATTATAGATCCAGCTCATTGAGATTCTAACAGCAATTTAGCACCACGTAGGAGGAAATCTTGTTCAAAGAATCTAAGAATCTTCACTGTCTTTTTCCTTTACCGAAAGGAAAGTTTCCATAAAAGTCTGTGTGGGGAAACAGCCCTAGAATCATAATGTACTTTCAAGTATTAAGTGCCCATCAATGACCCAATTCCAGGCAGCAGGTTAATTTTGAGTGGTCATTGAGTTTTGGCTGCTTGCTTTTGGGGATGTCTCAGGCTAGACCATGTAGGAAGTTCAGAGTAACTGGACTATTAGAATGTAAGGGTCCTGGAGGCAGGGAATGTTTCAGCTGTGCCTATTATGACTCAGTATTACATAAATCAGTGCCTGGTGGGCACTGAGCACTCAACAGGTCATTGTTGCAACAGAAAATAAATCACATCTTCAGTTACCAAACTGTCTCTTTGTGGGCCAAATCTAATGAGGACATATCAATTACCAACTATAGCAAGACAGAGTTAGTTCAACAGTGCCTGATCACATCTGGAATGGTGTGGCAGCTACTCTAAAGAGACCCCGAGAAACCAGAAAGAGCATGTGAGGCAAGAATGGTATAAATGAGGATTTGGCCAATAGCCTTGCTCTGATCCTTCTGGGGAAACTTACATATTTAAAAAGCAAACTTGGTTTTTGTGTGGTGTAGTTATTTTTTCAAAATAGCAAAAATCTCTGTAAAACATGGAAATTACTGAATAGAAGAATTTTGAAAGATCATCTCACTTCTTCATCTATAAAAATAATCCATGAAAGTAATACGGATATTCAGTAACTCATTTGGTGTTATCTACCTAGGGCCAGAAGCAAGGCTGAAAGTCATGCTGCAGATGGTGTGAAGTTGACTTCTTGATTGATCTTAGAACAATGGTTCTCAACCTGTGGGTTGCTGGCCACTTGGGGCATTAGATACCAGATATCATGCATATCAGATATTTGCATTACGATTCCTAACAGTAGCAAAATTATAATTATAAAGTAACAATGAAAATAATTTTATCGTTGGGGTCCCCGCACCATGAGGGACTATATTAAAGAGTTTCGGTGTTAGGAAGGTTGAGAACCACAGCCTTAGAGTAACTGCCTTTCGCATAGAATGTTTCAAAGATGTGCAGATAGGGAGGTCAGAGAAGCAGCATTGGCTCTACTCAGTATCAAAATAAACTGCATTCTGGTGCGGGCTAAGTGCTACTAGAGAATCAAGCATAGGCTAATTTGCTACCATGATTCAGCGAGTTTTGTGGCTAGCACTCATTTATTTGTCTGTTCTCTCGGAGTCAGGCTGTCATAAAGAAGAAACTGTGTAATTATGCTTGCCCACCTCATTGCTCTTCCCACTGGCCTCTCACTAGCACTGATCACCTGTCCACTGAGCAGACCTGAGGAGCAAGTGTAGCCACTGCTTGCTCCTGCTCACTTAGCTCTTAACCTCTGCATTTTGGCATCAATGGTAGCTGGCAGTGTGATGTGGAAAACGAAGACGGTAACTAAGTATCTTGGTTAATTATCTGTTGCGGTGATAAAATACCATGACCAAAAGTAATTTAAGGAAGAAAGGTATATTTTGGTTCAGGGTTCAAGGATATAGTCCATCATATCAGGGGAGTCCAGGCCCTCCATGATCCATTCATCTTTGCATTGTGTCCTGTTGTGGTTTCCTGTGGTAGTCTCCCTTTGCTGGAAGGAGAGGCTTCTGATGAGGGCTGGTAGCTACACTTCTAGATAGATATATCAGGATACAACTTAGGAAGTGGTAAGGACTTAGGTTGGTCTAGCAAGATTCTTTTCTAAGGTTCATGACCTCACTAGCCATGGTAAGATGGCTGGGTTTCCAGGATCAGGGATGATTCCTTTCTTCAGAATGGGTCTTAAATACACTTAGACAGCTGATGGCCACCACCAACATGTACACACCTCACTTACTGCACATTTAGGGAATCCTTGCCATGCTGTCATTCTTGTGGCTCATGATTGTTGCAACAGGGTAAGACTAGTCAGTGCTTTCCTTCCGTGGCAGCTGGTAAAGTATCTTCAAGTAGGAAGCCAGATGACAAGAAGGAGGTTTTCAGGATTGATTTAGATTCATCTGGAATCATCCAAGCCAGAGGCTCACTTTATCTTTGCAAATCCATCACCAGAAGCTTGTCTCATAGGGGTAATTGCCGATCCTGTCAAGTTGACAGTCAACACTAAGCACCATACTAGATCCAAGATCATTCTGGATCTCAAGTTCTGTGTTTCTAGGTTTTATATACCCTACAATCAGGAGAGTAGAATGTTACTACTGCCCCTCTTCAACCCCCACTGCTTTGGTTCCTCTCCCACCCTATACACACCCTACCCAGGTGCGGGTGACAGCTCCCGCACAGGCCACCCACACTTATGAGAGTACCCAAAGTCAATCAGAGGCATCCTAATGGCTCTCCTTGTCCTCTAGTGTGAAAGGCATAGTAGCTCATAGCAAAGCTGCATCCCCACATGGTTATGCATACTTCCCATAACATTGCAGCTACTGAGATGCATCATAACAAAGGAAGAGTGTGAAGTTCAAGGCAAATAATTAAGTCATGTATCTTCAAATGGTGACATCAGGATTTTTCTGCCTAGTTTTTGCACCAGGTTTGCTCACGGGGAAAAAAAACTATGGAAGAAAAGGATGCCTAAACATTTACAGAACAACAGAGTGATATGTTACAAATCATATTTGGTGAAAGAAACTCTGAAGTTCAGTAAAGCTGAAAAGAAAGGCCAACTCAAGATCTGTCATCCTTGATGGTACATTTTTATGGAATAAATAAATCATGTAATTGATAATCAGTGTCGACCAGCCAAAACCCTGGTTATAAATTGTGTGGCTGGAGCAATCATTTGCAATCTTTCTTCTGAAGAGATGAATGAGGAATTTGTACTCAACTCCTGCTTAGGCTTCAGTCTCCCTTTACCCACTTTCTACACTGAGTGACAAGCGCCACCTGCTGGCCAGCAGAAGCATTTTACTAGTTTTATGTCACTTGATTGCTTGGCTGACAAACTAACTGGATAATTGTTTTTCCATTTTTTTTTTTTTTAAATATACTCAGGCAATACTTTTAATAC